AAGTTGGGGGTGGGGGCGGTATGTGATTTTGAGCCGGGGGTTGGGGGTGGGGGCGGTAATGTCCTTTGGGGCGGGAGGTTGGGTGTGAGCGTCAATGCTGCCTGCCGTGCACGACGAGGATGGGAAGGGGCGGGTTCGGGAAGAAGACTGTTGGAAGACATTTAAAAGAGGGAGGAAGGGTTGTGTTTTGGGGGGTGGTGGCGCTGTTTGTTGTTGCCATTGGTTTTTTTTTACGGCCATTTACTATTTGAGCGGGGACACAGAGGACCCTGCCACCACTCTTTGGATAGGCAGTCTCGCCGGAACATCCCAGGACCTTACCTCAGTTTTGACTTAGTAAGTCATGTTTGCTGTGTGACCTACGCGAAGTATTTAACTGTTGTTTGTCTAATATGCAACGAATCAAAATTGCTAAAATGGTTTAAGTGTCATCAGTATCACAAAAGTCCTTTCAGAGATCGCTTTTTTATATCAGGTCAAATGGATTTCTTTAAAGTATATTTCTACTACATAACGTTTGGCCTGCTGCAATTGTTTTTTTATTATCTAACTGACCGTTTTGAACAAATGGACCTATGATAAAGATATGTGTATTGTCGAGTTTGTAGACATATATTTTTCTTTCAAAATTGAATAACATATGTTCGAAACTAATGGGATTTTAAAACAAGAAATCAGATTTCATCATTTTAGAAAAGCCAAGGCAAGGTTCACAGTGGGAACACTGAGTACTTTATCGTCCATGAAGGAGGTACAACTGTTCTATGGTTGTGCACTCTGTCGACGTCAAACGTTTTGGTGCCTTGGAGAGTGGGGGCGGGAACTGGACTCGATCGTTCTCCCAAACTATGATATTACTGATAACGATCAATTGCATTTGTCTTTATCATACCTTTGTACACAATTATAGAGCAAATTTTTTTCGTATCTTTCTGGTTGCAAGACAAGATGAAGTTTTATTTAGATTATTACTGTACTGATATTTGGAAATGCCAGTCAAAATGACATCAAAATGACATTTACTGTAGTGGGGTTTTTTCTCTCTCCTTTTTTGGCTGTTGCTCATAGGTCGTCCTTTTTCTGAAAGTCTGCCTGCACAAATGATTGTCCGGCTCAAAGTTTCTTCTTTCACATATTTTTTTCCAACTGTGTTCTTCGGGCTCAGTTCTGCCAAACTGTATTTCTATCTCACAAAAAAAAAAGAAAAGTTGTAATCATTTTTCTATAGTGAAAAAAAGGACTGAAGTTTCTGACATTGCCTGGGTTCAAGTTAACGAGTATCAAGCAAAAGTTCAAATGGTGAACATTTCTATTGACGTTTCACAGGTCGTCCCCCTGCAGTCCCAACACTCAACATGTCTCAAGCCGAAGACCTCGATATGGACAACAGGGATCCCAACAACTTGAACGATCATGTCAAGGTAAGGAGAAAAAGAAAGCACTCTTCAGTTTCTTTAAACAAGTGTCTATGTCACATCCAGTGGTCCTGGATTCAAAGACTGTATTATTATAGTAACTAGACTGAAAAGTCTTTTCAATCAACGGTGCACAGGAAAACATTATTTTCACAAGGACACGTGTGTCGGTGTACAGCAATGAGAATTGCCATAGCATCGACTACGAAAAATAGCTCACCCATAGCCAGGAACAACAACGTAATCAGTGCGTCCGCGTATACCCAGTGCACACTGCCAATTTGACACATTTGATTGAGTCGGGGCCAGCCAGATGAACCTTCGCGGATGAAACAAAGGCTACCATGTGGCACAGTACGATCGAATTCAGCTATACTCGACTGTGACCTTCAAAATCAAACATGTCTTTTTCAAGGTCACTCACTCTTTGGGGTCGAAGGCAAAGCCTGGAAAGTTTAAACCAACTGCACGTGGAATTCAACAACAACAAAAATGTAGTCTATTTGGAGCGTACTTTTTTATAAACCCCGCGTCTGGAAATTTGTTTTCAAAGAAATAGACCATTTTTACACTATGAGTTATGGCTGTTAGCAAAATGCGAAGTGTTGTCTTTCTTTAAACACAACTTTTATACTTGATTTGCGTATGAAAGCATTTTCATGAGATCAAATTCAACGATAAATCATCGTTGCAACTAAAACTTCAGTTGAGACAAATGCATAACCTTATATGAAAGTTTTCGTTCATTGTGTCCCAATTAAACGTGTCGTCGGCAAGGAGTTCAACTGCTCTGAGCTCAGAAAGCAAGATTTTTTTCATTGTCTTTACAATTAATTCTATATGTTTTATTGTGAATCTTTTCTTGTTTGTTTGGGTTTTTGTGTTGTTGTTTTTTTGTTTTTGTTTTTGTTTTTTGTTTTTGGTGGGGGGGGGGGGGTCTTTCAACTCTTGAAATCTAAATGTCAACAGAACATTTTTGGAGCACATGCAATCGACACCACAGTTGAAGAAACTGCAATTTAAAAAATATCAGTATGTTGGGCTTGGTATAATAATGTATGAACAGTTGGCCAATGTAAACTGTTCTGTTCCTCCGATGATGCATGATCATCTGAAGCCTCTGGAAAAATTGATTAAATGGTCTTACATATTCTTCTTTCTTGTTCTCGATCTCATCTCACTTGAAGTCTGATATCTGTCAGTATGTACTGGGCTGTCCTGCTGAGTTTCCCTGATGGCTCGTTTGGCTTCTCGTGTAGTGCTAATAGGGTTGACGTTTCCTTACCTACGACTCTGTGTCCTGCACGGCTAGAGAATGTGTTCCACAGTTTGGTTTGTACGTGTGTTTTTTGAGTTTCAAAGTTTCGTTGTGTTTCGTGACATGCAAATAAAAATGGAGGGGGGATAAGGACGATAAATTTTTATAGGAAAGAAAAAGCAAATCACATCAAATCACCAGGCAACCAACCACTACATAGGGTGGAGGGAGGCTACAGGTAGGTCTACCGTCAAACGTTGAACTGCTCAGTTTGTTCAGTTTGCTCGTGCACTTGCCTTACGTTATATTGAAAACCACCCGAACGTCCCCTAAGTCAACCCCCAACGCTGAAAAAAGTGTGGAGTGAAATGGCACCTAATTATTATCTTTGTCTATTTAGAGGTCTTATTATCTATTACTCTTCGTTTAAAGATACTGAAAAATAACCAATCTTTCTGTATCCATGACTAAAAATGTCTAATAATTTCCTTTCCCTCCCCAGGTATCCTTCGATGAGGTTCTTGGTGAACCCGATGGCATCCGGTCCATGGACTGTGTGTGGCGCAACTCCTACAAGTGCTTCAGCTGCTGCAAAGGATGCTGCTACAAGCTGCTCACTCTCTTCTGTGGTATCCCCCTGGCCATGTGCTGGGGCTGCGAGTTCGCCATGATCACCTTCCAACACGTGTGGTACATCACTCCTTGCATGAGAGCCTATATGATCAACTGTGGATGTCTGCAGAAGTTCTACGGCACCTGTATTCAGTGTTACCTGCAACCGCTCTACGAGGCTATGGGTTACTGCTTCAGTAACATCCGGGTCACAAACCTTACGGGATAACCTATGGGACTGTCAGTTTACAGTTTTTGAATTTAATCTCGTGTGTTTAAGTTTAAGAAGTATTTATTCATTTTCGAGAATCATATTAAGTTGTTTTTCCCAACAGATTGGTCTACGCACGAGGAAAAAAATGAAAATTTAGGGCAACTTAACCATTCGACATCAGTCATCAATGTGCCTTTTTGTTTCAAATACTAAAATGTAAATTTTGTAACTTATTCGATGTCCATTCAGCGATGTATCTTAACAAGACTGAGAAAGATAAAGAACAATCCAATCAATGATGGGTTTATGTTCTACTTTTATATTTTTGTTATACATTTTTCTGCAAGCAGTATTTGAAGTGAAACTATGTACACAGTAGTCACTTTCAGGCTAGAAGTTCAGCGATATTTGGCTCAGTATTGAACATAATTTTGTACCATTCCTGAGCTGACTTTTGTCATTCTGGTGTCATCAAGCCAGCTGTTGAAAGGTGATATTGAACGTATCAAGTTTAACTATAGACTTGTATCTTAATATCAAAGACTATGCACGCTAACGTAATTCCTGTTCAGTGAGGAGAGCACCATTTGACTCTACTTGGAAGCAAATGAAGGACAAGGAGGGACAAGTTGCGCGCGCACTCGACTACAGCGAGACAGGTGTTCTGTCCTTCATTTGTGCCCCCATGGTGTGCCTCAGCGCAGCAAAGTTTTCGTATAGAGCTAAAAGCGATGGCCATGACAGTGCCCGATCTAGAATATTATAATTCAAGTCTATGGTTATAACAGACGATATTATAATGGCAGCAGTAGAGAATAGGCTCTGTTACTGTCAGTAATGTTTAGGAAAAGAAAGATATTTGTTGTGTTTTTAAACTGCTGACAACTAATTCCGTCCATGCGTTGTTTAATGCTCCATTATGTATTAAGTTATTAACAGTTATTCATTCATCCAGCACAAGCTATGATATTTTTATGCAACCTTCTCTATGTGGGGCCCCAGGAGGCTCCCTGTCCTCGTGCTGTGTGTGTACTGGAACGCACTGATAGGCCTACGTGTACATAGAACAGGCGCCGCGCACATCAACACCAGGCTGTGGTTTAAAAAAGAACAAAGATCAAATAGGCCTAGAGTCCGTAGGGTTTTACGACATGTGTTGTCAAGAGACAAAGAAAAAAAATGGTTATCGTAAAGACATCTTGAAAATTCCCTTAACAGACTGAAGAAAAAGCCGGCGTCTCTCATCCCATTAATCATAATCAATATTCCAATGGGTTTTCTGCTGCGAAAGTTCTGCAAGGGCCAATGTGGTAGTCAATCAATTGATTCCAAATCAATGAATCTTTAATAGGGAGACTTCATGACTTGTCATGTCTGATTTGGATGTACGAGGGGAAGCAATTTGGCCCAAGCGAGTCTTGCAGTATTCCTTTTGTTGATAAGGAAGTGGAGCTTGGCGCACCGAACAGAATGCCACATAACACACTGAATAAACAAGCTCTTTGTTGTAAATATGATGTGTGTCATGGATATTATAATTTTTGTCGGTGTTGTCATGGAAATCATCTTCGATTTCATTGTTACGACATTCAGGAATCACAGTGAAAGACAATATCACAGCACAGTTTTTACCATAATTATTCACTGGTTCCCGAAACAGAATAAAGCGAAAATACGTTTAGAAAGTAGGCAATACTCTGCCACGTGCACGTCAGGTTGAACAACTGTGGGGGGGGGGGGGTGCTCTCTCTCTCTCTCTCTCTCTCTCTCTCTCTCTCTCTCTCTCTCTCTCTCTCTCTCTCTCTCTCTCTCTCTCTCTCTCTCTCTCCTTTTGTCTCGCTCTCTCTCTCATCTTTTAACTGTGCCTTAAGGTAATAGCAACTGTTTCTCTTCTCTAAACATTAAACCAAGACTCAAAATGTCCTTCTACCACTGAAGTCCTGCTGGTCACTTACTCACTTACTGTTATTTACTTTATTGTCGAGTGATACATGTTTGTCAGCTTATGCTTGAGTGTCTCCTTCTATTATTTCGTATCACTATAGTATTATTCCTCTGACGTGGGCATTGTATTATTACCCGAACCCCTATGCACCTCGACACTTTGGAAGTGTCAGTCATGAGTTACAAACAAGCTGTGATCAAACTGTACATTGTTTACCAAACGCCATTTTGATAATAAAGTCTTGGAATACTCGAACTGAATGAGGTTCCCCTGTACTATGTTCTTGTGTACACAGCGCTTTTAGTGTTGTTGTTGGTAGGCTTACACACTGGCATGCATGATGTGACATGTCGAAATGGAAAATCGTAACTTGAATTTGTTTACCATTGAAACTTCTTCGAAAACCAACAATCTCTTCTTATGAGTTTGGAAGAGACTACCGCCACCTGTATTTACATGCTCGCTGGAATGGTGGAATTGTTAAAGGTGCGCTAAAACGTTGAGACTGCGACAACATCTGATAATATCAATATTCGAGTTCATGCTCATTCTCGGTAAACTTGATTAGATAGTGTAATACCTTGAATACTAGTAGTCTCTAAGGCATGGAGAAAACAGTAAAGGCGGGCAAATAGATTAGGATTACCTCTTGGGACGAAGACAATTTTAGTTTTGCGTTTTTGTACCTTTACACGGGGGGGGGGGGGGGTTAGACTTTAACAAACGTTACACGATCATATTTATCTTATAAAATAAATAGTATATTATTTCTTTTAAAAACTACTATTAGTCTGATGGCAAAATGTTTATAGCACAATTTTCGACACAGTTTTGAACATTTTGGAGGAGGAGGAGGAGGACTGCTTCAATCCTGCCTTTTCAAAGCAACTCATGCTGAGTAGGAGACACTGGCCTGTGGAGTGTGGAGATCTATGAACTGTCACGTTACAAAGGTTCGCTGTGTCTGGTATCGTATCTCAGGAGACAGGGGACCCTAAAGGCAAATAAGATGAAAATTTCTCACTCAAGAATCAAGGTCATTTCTTTTCATAACAACGCGGGGGAAAGGCCTAACTTCACACCACTGATGTCGGCTATCTCAGTGTAGTCTAGGCGCTTTTACTGGAAACTAAGACAGCTCATGGAATCAAAACAGTTTCCTCTTTCAGTTTAGTGTAACTTTCTGAGGATGTAGCAGACACATAATTCATTATGACAGATCAGCAACAGACCAAAGGCAATATTGCGGCACATTTCGAACCATCAAACACAAATCAGAAACACGAATTTACATATTTCGTAGTACATACTTTGTTGTCTGCCTTTTCAAGCGTCAGACAAAAGAAACAGAATAGAAATGTCTGTGTGAATAATGAAGGTATACTTCATCTTTAAAGTGACCCGAAACAATGAGTGTCTTTCAGCGTTGTCGAATAACCAAATCGCGTGTCCTTAATGGGATACGGGATAAAAAATGTGAAAGGTTCCGGTCATAACAATTAGAACCGTTGTTACTCTTCATTAAGGCTCAGATGGCAGCACAAAGGGGTTGGGAGGAAGGGGTGACTCTGGTTTGAGCTCTCAACTGAGCGTAGTGGAGCAATAATAATTTTTCATTGGAAAGGGTGGGGGGGGGGCATCGTGCTCTTTTTATTTAGCTCTGAGGGTGAATTGTGCATCGTACAATTTCACTTAGCAGTTGGTATAGTTCTAGACTATGAAGCGGATGGCCCGGGTTCGAATCCCTGACGGGACATTCTGAACTTGGTTTCAGAGATGGACATGAAATTCGGCGATCCCACCACTTAAATAAACTTACGGTGTTGAAAGGGGCATTAAACCTATATCTATTTACATTTGACTGTTGAAGACTTGTAGTTTCACAGTTTTGTGCTATTTTGTTCTGGGACAATAAGGAGTTCAAAGATAGGTAAAGGCTACTTTATAATATTCCCATCTTTCACCGATCTGGCTTTTTTGGTCACAAGAGGTGAGGCGTAATGCAACTTTGTACGAGGGCAATGGCGTCTGGCCAAGGAAATGTCTGTTTGCCGAACAATTTTGTGTTGAAGTCAAATCACGAGAACGAACGGGTCCTTACATGAGAGCCTACAGGATCAACTGTGGATGTCTGCAGACGATCTATGGCACCAGTATTCAGTGTGTTCTTCTTGGCAAAGCTGTCCGGCGTCTGTGGTGTAGCGGCATGGCGTTTCGCCTTCGCACGCAGAAAACCCGAGTTCGATCCCCGAATGAAATGAAATTTGTATCGAGTATCTTGGTCTTTCTGCTGAGACTTTGTACCCCTCAAGCAAATTCGAAACCCGTCTCCAAAATTATCTAAATCGTGTCGGTAGGGACATAAAATACCAATTTTTATTTAATGGCCAAGCTAAGTTGACTTATGCCGCCCATAACTCTCTGCAGATAAGTTTCTGTCAGACCGTAAAATTGCTCATACTTTTTCGTTCGCCGGAAACAACAGTTTGTTTAAAAGCATTTCTCTGTGATAGCAAGCCCCCTTCTTTGTTCTGAGGGGGGTGTAGGTGTTTTCACGTCACCATCGGCACAAATTATTAAATCATTTAGGTGGCAAGTTCACACCCCGCCTACAAGGTTCAACCCGGTCTGAGAGCGTTACAAGATCTCTGCAAAATGACTGACATACTCTTTAAAAATTCTCTTCACTCGGCAACTGAACTCGAGTCTCCTGCGTGTGACAGCAAAGTGCATCACCGTTACAGCACTAACGAATTGGCTCTACTAGTTATGAACTGCACTCAGAATTTAACGATCGCAATACTAAGCCTATATAGTAGCTTAGTAGGCCAACCACACTGTGACCAAATCGCTGACCAACTGTTTTGTCCCAGAAATAAGAGAAGCATGACAAAACATGTGCTGAGTTACCAAGGGAATCTTCTCTTATTGTCATTTTCCACAACTTTCAGACAAAAAACCGCTGGCCAACTCTTTTGACATAGTGCTGAGTTTTTGTTCTCCTCAGCCCTATAGCTTTTTTTTGTACTGGTGGTAAATATAGGTGTTTTACGGCCCAATCAACACAATTCTGATCGATTGGGAACCAGGCTTCGACCCTGCCTGTCAGGGCCAACCTCGCTGAGATACAACGTCACTGCAGAAAGATCGAAGATACTCGATAAAACTTCTCCCCACACTGGAATCAAAGTCGGGTGTTGTGCGTGCAATGGCGACGTCCCTATATCCGCTACACCACAGACGCTGGTCCACAGTCTTGTCGTAGTGCGGTACTAGGTTAAGGTAGACCAAACTTTTTTCTTCTTTATGAATTATTATTGTCTCTCAGCCGGCTGTGGACCCGTGGGAACCAAACCCTGAACGTTTACAAAAGCCTACTTTGTGTGTACTGACAGCAGGGAGTTAAACTTTAAGACGCGGAAAAAACTATCAAACAGTGAACGGACTTGTGCGTACCTCGCACTTAACAGGAATTTGAACAAAACAGATATCTATTGGCAGCTACCTGAGCGGTACAATTTAAACAATTTTGACAGACTATTATTGCATTGCTCTGTATGCAGTAAGAAAGGTACTTTTGGTGTGGAAGAGTGGACAAGATAAGAAAGAACAAAAGACTTTGTATTTTTTCTACTCCGTCTCAACGAATGCATCATCCAAGGGGTGGGTTACATCGGGCCTACTCTTTCAGGGCTGCCCGCCATAATGAGATTCGCCCGACATCAGAAAGACCAAGATAAGTTATCAAATATCTTCCCCGATCTGAATCGAGCGCATACGGTTTAAAAGGCGGGGAGCCTAACCGTTACACCACGGTGCCGAAAGAGAAGAATAAACCCCAAACTTGATCTTTCGTTGACCTTGTATAGAGGTACAATATGACCATACAGAATCCAAAGGCGCCGATCGAGCCTCATAAGGGCTCAATACACGCACAAGTCAATGGATGCAAGCCAGGCAGCGGGCCTGTAGTGCGGTTAAAAATTCGTGGCGCAACTTATCCTCAAATATCTTTTTAACGGTTGAATCAGTGTTACTTATATTTTTCTAAGCAGTTTGTATCAATTTGTCTTAACTTAATCATATTTTCCCACAAAAATTGGGGCTAGATTTTTTTTTTATTTATCTTTTATTTATATAAAGTATTACAAATCTCCCTCACTCGGAAAATGGAATTGTTCACAGCAATTTCCGCTTCTCACACACATTTTGCTTACGCATATGGCTTACGTCACAGCTCACCAATGACACTTTTTAGTGGCAAAACTAGTTACAGGAAATACATTTTATAGTGAACACTTTTTTTGCACTAAACGTTTTCAAAACATGCTTTCAATAAAGATAATCTCGCGATTAGAAAAAAATGACAGACTTGCTTTTAAAAGCGATATTGTGCCAGCTGTAAACCTTTTATAATCAGTAGAAACCACCCAATAGGATTTTTTATTCGTATTTATTTGACAATAAGTTGGGCCACGATTTTTGACCGCACTATAGCCTTGAGTCTAGCCTAGGGTTATGTTTTACCACACAGGATGCGATCACGCCTAGGGATACCGCTGGCACATTGTCTGGTTAGTATACACAGTCGGTAGAGGATGTAGAGCTTTTTTTCATGAAATCAACAGCGACAGACAAACAAAATGCTATACATATTTGGCGTCAGTGACTGTAGGATTGGCAACAGGGACCTGACGTTATGCCCTTTGGGAGGGAACTTTAAACGAATTTTCCTCACTTCACCCCAGGTGGGAATAGGTACCCAGCTATAGACAGCGAAAGACATCAATCGGCTGCTTGCACTATCTGCTTCTCAGGTAGCCGAGAAAGTTTCTGTGTTTTAGAGTTTGCTGGGGTAATAATAGTTGTAAACGGCATAAAGCACGCTAAATAGATGCAATTATTATTATTATTATTATTATTATTATTATTATCATTATTGTTATTATTATTATCATTATTATTATTATTATTATTATTATTATTAATTGTATTATTATTATTATTATTGTTGTTGTTGTCGTTGTTGTTGTCGTTGTTGTTGTTGATCATTGTTGCTAAGATTATTATTTTTATCATTAATTATTCATATTATTATTATAATCATCATTATCATTATTATTTGAACTACTAACCAATTCTGAGCTAATGAAGGGGGAAAAAACTCAGGACTGAAAGCAAACTCTCCATCCATTGGCTTGGTCCCGTCAGAGATAGACTTTTTCGGAAATTCCGCCTCAGTGTTGAAAGGGGTG